CCCCTCCACCTGGCACGCTCCAGCATTCGCAGCGAACAAGGCTGCATGGCATATTTTATAAGAACTAAGGACGAAGCACGCTCCTAATGTACAATAAATGTTGAGGCATACCTATGCGTTGAATCGGTGATGAAACAGTCTCATGACTGGAGTGAGAGGTAGTTCGTTGTAAATGTGAAGCACTTGAAAGACTGAGATTTCCAAAAAGAGAGGCATCAAGTAGGAAGTCCTCGCTTTCGAAGTCTGACCCTGCGATTAGCTCGTCGATAGCTGAAATAACCTAGATATAATACATATGCGAACGCCCAAGAGAAATGAAGTTTCCTTTCAAGGCTACAGTACAACGGAATCTAGCAACGGAGCACAGTTATGAAATCTTGCGCACAAATTCTTGAGAATTCCGGTTTCTTCTATGTGTATAGTTAAGGGGGAATATAGGCATCGTTCTGGCGTTCATGGAGGATAAGAGAGTCGAGGAATAGATCGACTCTTATCTGATTCTTTGACGCGCATTCTCCCACACGTCGCCTCTATTCCTAGACCCGTCCGCACGGCGCGTGTCGCGCGCGCTGCCTTTGGCATGTTGCCATTCGTGGTTTTGTGCGTCCACGACAGAGATTGCGGCAGGAACGCGGACGCGAAAGTTGAAATTGAGTAAAGAACATGACTCACTGAGTTACAGCTTGTTGAGAATGCTAGGCGAAATGAAATGTTAAGGTTGGCTAGTGGCCAGCCAGATTAAGTTTTAACGCCGTTTTCACAGGCTTATAAAGCTTTCACATTTTGAATATAAAGAAGCGCAACAAAAATGAAGAATGGGCATCGAAAAGCATTGGAATGATTCGGATACGCAAAACATGAAGTGGATGCAATTGATCTTCGAACGTTCTCGTGAGCGGTCTTGCTTCTGAACATCCATTAATTCAATCTCTCTCTTGTGTGTGTGTGGTTGCGTTACGGCATTGTGTGTATTTGTAGAATTATTATTCGAAATACTGTATATTGTATGAAGCTTGGTTAAGGAAGGCGTCAGCCAAAATCGGGCCTCTATGAGCGTCAAAATAGGGAAATTCTGCTTGATGTCCCAACATCCCATGAAAACGAAGAAATAGTATGTTTCCTTTTATAAAGGCATTGAGATGGAGTCGGTATTTGGAGGTTTTTCAGAGACGCCATAATCCAACTGCTTATTTTCTTCTTAACGATGCCTGGCGTTGCCTGAATACTGTCTATGGAACCATTGCAACAATGGAGGACGTGGTTAGATATAGTTGAGAATTCGTTTTCACGTTACGGCTGCGTTCATATTCTGTGCCAGCGGCTTCGAGTGGCTAGGAAAGTATAGATGTCGATCTAGCGTTCTGGGTATGCATCAGCGTTTTCAGCAAATACCCGCGCAACGCTCAAAAGCTGGATGGATACCTATTTACCAGTCGTTACGCGGGCGTACGCGAGCCGATAGCTATGCTTTCCTAGTTACTCAGAACTAGCGTACCTCGGAACGCTGACGTAAAGTTGAACGCACTTCGAGCATTTGGTACAATGCAGGTAAATTAATCCGACAAAGAGAGACGAGTTCGAACGAAAGTGACAAATTTGTGGATGCTCGGCCGTAATATCCT